GTCGGGGGGAGAAGCCAGCCGTCTCCAGCTCCTACCAGGGCGTCGTCTGCGAGGCGGATGCCGCCTCCGTCGCCTCGCAGGATGTCTTCAAGGTGCGTGCGGAGGGGCGCGGAGGAGGTGGGGGTCCCGAGGGCTGGGTGGTGGCCGTGTGTGTGAGGGGACCGCCTCGGGCAGCCCAGCTGCTTGAGGCACCGAGGCCGGCGTGAGACAAGATGGTGCCCAAGACTGGGAATCGTGTGAGGGCGTTGGGGCAAGGAGGGGTGAAGGTGGAGAGTGAGGTGGGTGAGGGTGAGGTGGGGGCTCCGGAGGCAGCTGTGCAGGCTTGGTGTTGGTTACGTCCCAGAGACCCTTTCCTGCAGGAGGCCCTTTCCCCTCACTTGTCAGCGGAGCCATGAGGGAAGAGCTGTGAGGGGTGGGAGACAGGCTGGGAGCTACCCTGGCCATGGGGCCTAAAGGCACAGGAGACTGTGGCGTTGGGTGGCCCAGTCTGGACCGGGGCAAGCCGGAACACAGGAGGGGAGCAGGTGAAGGAGGACGTGGGGTGGCAGGGGCAGGTGGTGGGCGGCAGGTGGCTGACACAGGGCTCACATCCCCCCTGGGCACGGCTCCCCAGAAAGAGTCCCCCTCTTAGAGGGAGGTCCACAGGTCATGATGGGAATGAGTAGACCATCTAGCAAAAATGTCCCAAAAGGACAGTTTAGAAGCGCTGGAACTGTTATGAAGGGAAAGGGAACCCATGGCACAACCTACAAATGCAAAATTGCTGCCAGGAAGGATATAACCTCTTCCCTTTTTCATAGAGAGTAGGACAATATTTATATTGCTGCTAGGGAGACCTAGACAGAACGTTAGGGAAGCCTTTTTTAACGGTAAGAATAATTCAGCAGAGGAAGAGGTTGCTTACGGGGCAAATGACTTGGGTAACTTTGGAGATTTTTAATAGCAGGCTAAACAAATTTGACAAAGTATATGGATGGGTTTAAAGATCATTTCCAGACTTGTTTTCTGTGTGCTAGCTGTAGTCCTGAGCAACACCTCTTCAGCATAACACGGCTTGTCACTCTGGCGGGTGACTTGCCACTACAGAGGTGTTCAGGCAAAGTGCAAAGGAGCTGCTGTCATTTAAAATAGCTTGCTTTGCTGTTTTGAACCAACCAAAATACTGAGAACACCTAACTGATTTCTTCCTTTCCTATTTTGTTAATGAAACACTGCAGTATTGGCTGAAACATCTTATTTTTGTTGATAGAAATTATCATCGTGCCAAATTTGGGCACATTTTATCTTACATTGACAAAAAATTCCAATGTAAAGAGTGGCAAAAAGTGGTCTAAATCAATTGAAAGATTTGAAATTCATTACCATTAAAATTAAGTTAGAATATTAGAAGGAATAGAAGATACCGGGCTCTATAATAAGGTTTTGTTAAATAGCTTTTTGATGTGTATAAAATGTATACATATTTGTGTAACTGACCTCTTATTTTTATGACAGTTGAGCCATCTTAAATACACTTTCCACAATGATGTGACCTGTTTTCTATTAGCTTTTGCTAATTGCACTTTTGAAGCAGATTTTACCCCTGTATTTGGCCCCAATCTTCTAAACCTTTAAACACATTTGTAACATTATTCACATGAGTAACCTCACTGAGGTCAATGGGACTATTAAGCTGAAAGAAGTTAAACACGTGCTTAAGTGTATGAATGGGCTGCCCCGTAATGTGTATTTGCTTAACGACAGCAAAAATTGTTGAGTCTTTGTGGCTCAGGGGACCCTGGAGAGCAAAATTTTCCTTTTCTTTTGCAGCTGAGGAGGGAACAGTGATTTTAGGGGATTTCCTTTTTTTAACCTTTGCTTGCTTACACATCTTTGGGAAGGTTTGCATTACTTTTGATAGGCATTTTTCTCTTTTTTTTCCCTCCCAATTTGTTGAATTGGTTTTCTTTTTTATTCCCTTTTAATTTTTTAATAACTTGTTTTTAAATTCCTGCCCATTCTACTGCCAGAATTTTTTTCAATCACTTTTCTTCATATACAAGTATGGGTTTTGAAACACTCTTAACAAAAATACTTGAAGAACATCATAAAGTAAGAATCAGCAGGGTTTCCATAGTGCGCTTTGGTTGCAAAGCACAGTACCAGGGAGGCATCAAGGTGTCAGAGGGCTGAGCTGTCGGAGACGGTTTTGTTGTATTACACTGTGAAGATGCTCGGTTGTTTCAGACTGAGATAGTAGCCCATGGGATGCTCTTAGGATACTGCTGAAATTAAAGAATTTATTGGTTGCTCTGACATAAAGAACATCACAGAAACCCAACAGCTGACCTTGAAAGCCCAGGACATAATACCAGTCTCTGTAGAAAGATCTAGAAAAGGAATTTCTCAAGATTATTAATTTTTCCTCTCTGTTGAATTCATTTGACGTGGCCACAGCTGGAGAGAGTATAAAACAGTAAGTGATGAATTTGCTTGTTTGAGATTTTCCATGGTGGAGGGAGGATCTTGAGCTCACTACAGAAGACAAAATAATATATTCAAGATAATTTCCATTTTTGTTAATTTTGCACTGTTTCTCATCTGGGTCTGATTTTGCAATCAATCAAATCAATCTAAGTTTCACTGTTGACTCAATCTGATCAGGATTTGTGTACTTCTGTATGAAACTAAATAGTTGGGAGACAATTATTGAGTGGTAACATGTCCGCAGTAACACATTATAGCATTGCTAACGTCTTGCCTATTAGAAGAATGAGAAAATGAGAAAATTTGTGTCCAAAATAGGTGATTTCAGATGGAAGTGCCTGTAGGCTACGGAGCTTCATTAAGAAGAATCGTTCTGGGCTTACCAAAGTAGATGAATTAAATGCCACCCCACTGCATCATGCTGCAGAAGGAGGTCAAATAGAATTAATGCAGTTGATCATAGATGATTCTTCCTGTGAAGGTAACACGCATTTTATGAACTATTTTATTTAACAGAATAAAAAAGTTCAATAATCAAAGTGTTTGTTACCCAACTGAAGCAGAACTGGTATGTGTTATCTACATTTATAGATTTAAATATAGTTCAAACTTCTGCCACAGTTTGCGGTGTCTCGGATGTGGTTTGGGTCACCCTTGTTATGTTAGGACTGTTTCCTGTCTAATGCAGTGAATCGATATATCTTATTTTGTTTGGGACTCATACTTACAGTCTTCAGATATAAAAAACAAAACTGCAGTGAAGTTTCCTTATTTATGTGTCTTTTGTTACATTTATAATACTGGAAATGTAAAAGAGAATTGATTTGGTTTCTTACACTTCTCATTCAAGTTGTCATCACAACTTGTTTACTTAATAGTGGGGAAGAATAAACATTTGATGAGATAGGCCATCTAAAGAAATTTAGGGAAGAAGTGTTAAGTAGGACAACATGGGGCCTTGAATGATGGAAAAACACTCTGTGTAAAAGGTGTTGTTCAGTAGTTATTAATAAGCATTGTGAACTACACAGGACTCCACTGATAGACTGTGGGCTACTGAGCAAACATACAGTGGCCCTGAAAAGCTCATTTTTTCACCTAATGATGGCCAATCTAATTTTAGATTTTTCTGGCTGAAATATATTCTTTTTCTTTTCAGTATATAATTTTTGTCTTAATTTTTTAGAATATTTGTTGAGGTTTATTTGCAATTTGGAAGCTCAAACTATATGTGTAGAACAGACCAGTTTTATAACTGGCGTGAATTGATTTACTTCTGTGTTCTTAAGTGAATCAGAATAGATATGGTCTTTAATCTTCTTACAATTTACAAGCACTTATTTATTATCTCTTATTTTGTTCTGTGCAGCCTCTAAAGCAGTAGCTGCAAAGTCAAGTAAGATAGGAAAGAGAAGAGACAAGGAAAGAAGGAAATCAAGTAACTCTTGGAGGGAGAAAAAAGGTATATAATAATGGGCAAGAAATAGACAGGTGTTTTACCCCTCCGATCTCTCTAACCAATACCGTGTATTCAGCACAATATTTAATCCATTTAACACGATGCACTGCGTGACACGCAATCTTTCCCTTTTTCTCCTCAAAGAAATGCAGTAGCACAGACCTAAACCTCCATTGAAGACACTTTTTTTTTTTCAGTGTGATCAGAACATTTGATGGTTTTGCTTTGGTTTTGGCTTTGTTTTGTTTTCTCTCCTTTGACCTAGTATTAAATGTGATGGATTCTTCTGGAAATACCCCACTGCACTGGGCCACAAAGAAAAACCAGGTTGAAAGTGTTAGTTTGCTTCTGAGCAGAGGAGCCAATCCAAACATTCTCAACTCCAATATGATGGCACCTTTGCATATGGCTGTGCAGTCCCTGCATAATGAAATTGTTAAGGTAAGTAAAGTCCACATAAATATACAGACTTGACAAGTAGCTCAACAGCAGCTGCGTGCAGAACACCAAGACCTTGTTTATGGATGCTGCATCTCCTCATATGCTTTGTTTAGCAAGCAGGATATGTAACATATGATGCTTATAGCAATGTTTGTGCCTTCTTAGCACAGCAAGTAAAAAGTAACTTGTTGATTTATATAAATACCGATTTCTGTGCTATGATAGTAGTTGTTATGTTTCATGGAGAGTTCTTTCAAATTTTTCCAAACACAAGGAATTTTCTTTAGAAGGGTTCTTTTTAACACTAAAATTTCATGTAGGCATGTGTTATTTCAAATGTTTATGTTCTGATTTTTTTTTCACAATTGTATAGGGAGTCATAGAAGTATCAAAATTTTCTTGAAACTAATGTATTATTTTTTCTTGTGTATTTTTTTTATGAAAACCAGATTAAAATTAGTCAGAAAACACAGTTCTTAAAACCAACAGTGTAATAATCATTTGAATAATAGCAGAATTAAAGCTGCAATTAAAAATCACAAAAATATATTGTGAAGAAATTACTAAGGTGTCCATTTTGAACCTTGTAAAATAGCAACAGCACTGAGATTTTAAGCAGCATAATTTTTTCATCATTTGTCCAAGTGCAATGAGAAATTTTTCACTCCATATGTGGCATTTGGATAGAGTTTTAGAATTTGTAAAGTTCTTGAATTTACTAGGTGAACACAACCTTAACACCACATTACTTCCTTTTCCCTTTAAAGTTGTCTCTTTTTCTAGTTCATCCAAACAAAAGAAAGAAAAACATATTCCTGTATTCAAGACTTAAAACCCTCTAGAGATTTTCAGTGCTAAAATATTTCACTGTCCTCACATCTTTTACAAAATCTGTATCTATTATGAATTACGAACAATAAAATTTGAAATATAATGACATTTTTAAAATGGGCTTTGTATCAAGTTCCGGGAATGGGTTATTTTACAGCTCTGCTCCTGACTAAATATGTGCTCTCATTTTTTCCCCACTCTGTTGTTTATTCAAACTAATTCTCCTTTGGTTTCTATTGTCAAATTGTCCAAGAGTTATTAAAATGTGCCAGTTCGTCCAGTACAGAAAAATTCAATGAAATTACTGAAAGACAATTAAATAAATATTTAGATAGAGGAATAAATATGTGGTGCGGTATGGTCATTATCATTTCCAGATCCTTTGCTTCTCAAAAAATGCTGGAAGCAGTCACAGAGGTGCTTGGTGATACTGATAGCTCAGTGTTAGCTGTTAACATAGGGGCTGAAGGAGGAGTTCAGGACGGGAAGAGTCCCTGTTTTCATCAAGTCCCGTCTCCCTTGATCTTATGTAACTGTCCAATAATCGAGCAGCATCTGCAACATTGCAACTTTCCAGGGAATACAGAATATTACAAGACGTTATAACAAACTTAAGTTGAAAATCCCCATCTCAATTTGCTACAGAAAAAATTTTCTCCCAGTATTGGGGAAATTGTTAAATAAAACTTTAAGATACTCTGCAACTATGTGCAGTGTTTATCCTAGTTACCCAGCTGTCTGCTGTAAAGAATTCTACTTTTCTTTGTTCTCACCTGCATTTTTCACCTGTATATTTTTACATTCTCCCTCATTTTGTCCCTCCCCTGCCTATGCATTGTGGGCTGTTGGCATGCAAAAAGAATAAGTCGCAAGAGCGTTAGGGGTGATAAACAACCCAAGTAATGGTATAGGCCTTTGTTTTTGTATTTGGCTTATGGTTGACTGAATGTTTTCTTGAACATTTAGATTTTAGTCCAGCATAGCAGTACAGATGTTAATTTGGAAGGTGAAGCAGGGAACACACCTATAATTGTAGCATGTTACAAGGACAATCCTGAAGCACTGACACTCCTGGTAGGTGTAACTATCTATCATCTTTTGACATGATTCTGTTTACCTTGATGCAGTGTTGTTCTGTTCCTGTTTTGTGTCTTTGTTCAATGGAGGAAGGTTAATCATGGACCTAATATTCAAGTTACTTTGCATAGGTTACTAACAAATTTTAATCTTTTAAGAGCATATATAAATATATCTGAGTGGCAAACAGAAAAAATGTAAACTAATTTTGAAGGTCATCAGAAAACAAAATGAAGCACATGTATGTATAGATGTATGGATGTAACATGCAAAAGATGTTTGTATATAAACTTCACCATGCATATACAACATAAAAAAAGGAGACAGCTACCCAGGAGACTATACCTGTAATAGTATGTTCATTAGTCAGAATTTTCTGTATGTCATTAAGCTATATCCAGGCATTATTTTTTTCAGATTGAAAATGGAGGGAAAATATGTAAACCAAATAAAACGGGATGCATGCCTATCCATGCAGCTGCATTTTCAGGTGCAAAAACATGTATGGAAATTCTTTTAAAAAAAGGTAAATACATTGTTCCCAAGCAGTCAGTAAGATTTATTATTTATAGTAGCATTACCAATTTACTGCTTTAATTTTCAAAGAACTGTGCAAAAGAGCACTTATAACTGTGATTTAACTTACAAGAAGTTAATGCAATTATTCCTGTGGGCAATTCATGCTAGTGACTTTTGTTGGATTGCAGCAGCAGCTTAACTGCTTTCCTAAATATGTACCCATCCATTGTTTAATGATATATGTGAAAGGTTCATATTTTGAGGGGGAGAATATTATTCCACAGTTAATATACTTGTTTTGAAAGCCTTGATAGCTTCTGTTACCTTTCTCGCTTAAAAAAATTCCATTTATTTTCATTTCTCAGGTGAAGAATTGGGTCACTCTGCTAAAACCCACATCAATTTTACCAATAATGGAAAGTGCAGTCCACTTCATTTGGCAGTTCAAAGCGGGGACCTTGAAATGATTAAAATGTGCATTGAATTTGGAGCCCAAATTGATCTAAAACAGGTAAAACTTCGAATGGAGCAAAATATAATTTTGATAAAACGTAGATATCTCTGAATCTCTAAGTGGTATGAAAAAAAGATGAGCAGATAATCATTGCTCATTGTCTCTTCCAATGCAAAACCTAGGGAGCAGCAAATGAAAACAAATCTCCAGTTCAAATCAGGCAAAATGGCAGGCTTCTTTACACAAGTTACATAGGATGTTGTGGCTATGAAAAGTTTGCATGGATTCAAAATGCGTTTGGGCAGATCCATAGCAGAAAAATCAGTCCTTGGCTACTGAATACAATGACATCCCCTCTGGCTTAGGAAGTCCTTGAGTCATAAACAGATGGAGTCTGGGAGAGCACTCTGGAGAATGGTATGGCCTTCTTCACAAACTCTTTACTATGCTATTGTCCGTTCTCGGAAATGGGATCTTCGATCTGGCCCTTTCTCATCATTTATCCTCAGCCTTGCCCTGGCCTTTACAGTATCTTCTTTGTAAGCAAGCACAAATTTGTGATACTACTGCTGCCACCATGATACTGTTGGTGTAAGGGCCTGCGCCCAGCTTCATGACGAATAAATGTTTCTGAAGATATCTGTCATTAATCAAATTGTTTGCAAGGCTCAGATCAACTCATGAGAGCAAAGATAAACATGGTTTAGCCTTCTTTTATTGGTTTGATTCTTTGAACACACAGCTTTTGAAGGAGATGATTTATGCTCCTGATTTTGTGATGGGTAGGACTGTTTTGAGAATGCTTATGGCATTGTGGAAAAGCCCATTCCAATGCACTCACTGAAATGTTCCTGTTCTAAAAAGGAGAAAGTCAAAACCCTCAGGCATGTATCAAAGCTAGTCTGTCCCATCTAGCTAAATGAAATCCTGCTTTGGCAAATCTTGTTCTAATAATTTATTTATTGCTTAATAATTTCATGACTGTCTAGCCTATGATAGTGTAATAACATATTAGATCAAGTTATTTTTAACCTGCAGAAAATTTTATTGAAGAACGACATCTAAGGAAGATTCCATTTAAGGAAGTCAAAAACATCTTAAAATAATGGATTTTCTGTATTATATAGGGACATTTGTTTGCTTGTTCATTTGTACCGTCTACCTATGTTTTTCTGTAGTTTTCCTTTGCTTCATCTCTTGTATTAAAGGGTGCTGTGTGTGTCTGTTTATTAATTCAACTACAAAAAATTGTTAAGAGTGAAATTATCTTCTATCTTAGGGATTTGACATAGAATTATGAGAAACTTTGTAGTGATCCTTTAAAACTATCTCTTTAGTCTTTTCTGGTCTTTAAGATCTCTTTAGAGTTCCACTACTTTAGTTAAAGACTAAAGTTTCATTACTTACATAGAAATTTAGGTATTTAGGAATTACGAATCCTGGGCTAGATCATTAGTGTGTTTAATAGGTTGGAGGTTAGGTTGTTGGGGTTTAAATATTTAAATGTTGCTTTATTTTCCCATTTGTAGAATGAAAAATGCACAGCACTTCATTTTGCTGCCACTCAAGGAGCAACTGAGATTGTAAAGTTAATGATGTCATCCTATGCTGGTGAGGAATCCATTATTGATGCTGTAGATGGGAATAAGGAAACACTGCTACACAGGTAGGAGGCTACTCTGCCAGACTTCACTATAAATATTCTTAGTTATTCTCAGCATCCAATTATATTTTATATAGTATACTTCGGAACACCCTTCCACGTGGGTTGGAACTTCTCCATGGGATGGGGGATGGTTTTAGTACAATATGAAAGAGTCAGTAATTTGGTCAGAATGTTGAAAGATTTTGGTGCTGATATCAAAATCAAAACAGTTCCAGTTACCTTGGAACCATGTCAAGGAATGGTTACTAACAGTTTGTATTGAAAATTTACTCCAGTAAAGTAGTGGGTGAACAAGTTGATGGAATTCTTAATAGCTTCTGAGGTTGTGAAACAAATGCCCTCATCTACTGGGGTTATGTTCTCCAGAAAATGAAAGAAAAATAATATGAACAGTTAAAAAAAAAATATTTTTTCCCCCTAAAAAATTATCTTATACCTGATCAGCTACAAGTAGATGTTGGTACACTTCTCTATGACTACAAAGTTGCAGATGGCATTTGTGTATGTAGTAATCCTCTAGACTTCTAGTCTTTCACAGTCCATTTGAAACCAGAGCACTAGACTGTGGAGAAGTTTCGTCACTCATCTGTAGCAGAAAGACACTTAGTTAAATGTGCTGGCTACCAACTCTATGGAAGATAGTATATTTCCCCATCTGTATATTTTTGCAAGAAAGATATGTCTCACTGCATTTAAGTGTAATAACTTTACAGTGTTATTCTACAAGGATTTTTACAGCACGAAATAATTGGTAGACAGTTAGAGACAGTAGAGATGATTATTCTTTGGGCACAGTATAAAGTGGAGTGATTCAAAGATAATTGAAGAATTTAAAAGGGGAGTGTGTTGTAAAGTTAAGATAAGGTTTGGTACACTTGGAAATGCTACCATGATAGAACACTACTGAAGACAAAGTGATGACAGAACGCCAAAGAAAATTGTGCAGACACAACGTACTACTTAATAGATAACTGGCTGTCATATTGTCCTGGTTTCGGCAGGGATAGAGTTAATTTCCTTCCTAGTAGCTGGTACAGTGCTGTGTTTTGGATTTAGGATGAGAACAATGTTGATAACACATGGATGTTTTAGTTGTTGCTAAGCAGTGCTTACAGTAGTCAAGGACTTTTTAGTTTCCCATGCTCTACCAACTGAGAAGGCTGCAGGTGCACAAGAAGCTGGGAGGGGGCACAGCCAGGACAGCTGACCCAAACTCGCCCAAGGGATATTCCATACCATGGGACGTCATGCTCAGTACATAAACTGGGGAAAGTTGGCCGGGGGGGCCGCTGCTCGGGGACTGGCTGGGCATCGGTCGGCGGGTGGTGAACAGCTGTACTGTGCATCACTTGCTTTGTGTGTTGTTATTATTATTATTATTATTATTATATTTCAATTATTAAACTGTTTTTATCTCAACCCATGAGTTTTCTCACTTT